TTCAGTTTGAATAAGTGTATTTAATCGCTTTGAGAAGTAAGTTATAAAAGGTACTGATTTAATACCTTTTTGTACCATATCCCAAGCAGATCTTGTAAACCCCCCCCCCGCAAGTCAAATGTGCAATTTGTGGCCCAGTGAGCCAAATGCAGGCCACCAGCTGTGTAAGGCAGCCTGTCGAGCTCAGCAAATTCTCTTTTTGCCACACGCTTGGGATTGCACAAATGCACTTCAGGCATCCAGCAGGCTCATGACTGTTGAATAGATTTTTGACTTGATGAGTCACAAACTGCAAATACCCCCCTCTACAGCATCCTATTATTATTATTATTAGTAGTAGTATTGGTATTATTATTATTATTATTATTATTATTATTATTATTATCATCATCATCATTACTTATTACTTATACCCCACCCATCTGGCCAGGCCTCCCCAGCCACTCTGGGCAGCTTCCAACAGGATATTAAAAACACAATAAAAGATCCAACATTAAAAACTTCCCTAAACTGGGCTGCCTTCAGATGTCTTCTAAAAGTCTGGTAGTTGTTTTTCTCTTTGACATCTAGTGGGGGGGGTGTTCCACAGGGCGGGCACCACTGCCAAGAAAGCCCTCTGCCTGGTTCCCTGTAACCTTACTTCTCGCAGTAAGCGCTATTCTAAGACACTATAGAAATTGGAATGAACCAGGAGCTGGGCAAGAGCACACAGGCATGGAAACTGGGTTGGGATACACAAATTTGCATAATTAAATGTGATACAATAAAAGTCTGCTTCAGGGATACAAATGCCACTAAAATCTCCATCATATTTTAAGTAGTGGTGGATGCTCCAAAGATGGGATCTTCTTCCCTGTCCTTAAAGCATCTTCACTTTGTTTCAGAAACCAATAGAAGCCAACTTCAACTAAGCAGACACAATGCATCCATCCTATTTAAATTTCCAGTAGCATGAAACTTGAGAAAAGGGTAAAAAAGAAAGAAAGAAGCTAACCACTTCGAGAAGGGGAGGGACTGGCTGGAAGAGAAGCAAACCACTTATTTTCCCTCAGTAAGTGTTTGAAAATTGGATAGATTGAAAACAAATGCTTAAAGATGTTTCGGTACAGCATGCTTTCTAGGACTCTGTTTCCAAATTTTTCAGATTATATATTACAATTAAAGTAATGCTGAAAGCAGGTTAAAACAAACTCAACTGATGCCCATAACAGATTCAGGGCTATAAACGATCACAGATGTTCACATAGGCCTAGACATACCACTGGAATACAAACTCTGGTCATTTTCTAATTTCCATCATTAATACCACTAATTATATGTTTCTCAGGAGAAGATCCAAGATTTAGAATTAAGAGAGGAAATCTAGTTCATCGTAATCCACTCCTTTCAATTAAGGCCATAATACACCACGCAGTGGGATTGCTAGACAGAATGATAACATTACAAATTGCTCCCTTTGAGCAATCTGCCAGGTGCCAAGTGCAGCCAGTTCTTAGACAGCACCAAAAAGGACAGAAGAGGATCAGCAAGCCTAGTTGTGCTTTCTTTCCTCCCATGTTACTTTGGAATACGTTGCTTTCCCAATCAGGGGGAATTTTAAAAGGGACTTTTCAAATTTGAGGTCACACAGTACTCTGCTGACCGCTTCCACTTATTCCACAAGGACCTGCACCAACAAAATGAAAGCATGTTCTACAGGCCAGTGGCTGCCCTGGGGGGCGTAGTGATGTCTAATGTAACACTTCAGCTGCAAATACTTCACATTTGAGAAAGAGATTTTAAAACTCTTCCTGAATGGCAGAGATTATTCAGCTTTCCTTACTAAGCAGCATGTTCTGAACAAGCAACTTTTGTTCAGAAGCCAAAACCCTTCTTGAATATATGAGTATCTCTCTGCCTCCTCCTCCTCCTCCTCCTCCATCATCATCATCTCCATTATGCTAAAAAGATCACTAAAACAGTAGCAGAGTGATTGCTGGTAGAGTTAAAATCAGGGACCAAAAAATAAATCAATATTATTAGGTCCCACTCCAAGAGGTTCTTCTTTTAATGAAAATAATAACTCCCTATCTACAAAAATGTATAATATAATTCACATTTGAAAACTGTCCAACTATCCATTTTTATCAGAGTACTATTTAACCTAATAGAGCCTCAGTGTCATCAGAGGTACCTTATGTTTCTGGTTCATTATTCTGAACTTTGTTTCAAATAGGGTGTACTTGATGTAGAAAACTTGACAGCTCTTTGGAGAAAGCTGGGTCAAAAGTATCTTGTTCAATTTTCAAATGAATAAAATTGAAAAGATTTACATCTAGTTCACTTTAAAAATAAATAGGATCAAAAACGTTGATGAGTTTGTTCATTGTGACTGAGTACCGGTAATTGGGTTTGTCTATTTTTAAAGTGGGTTTAGATTTGACCTGAATTGAAACTAATGCCTTGTTAAAGGATGCTCAGTTTTACAGTATTTTGCAACTGCTTAATATCCCTAAAACATAACGTGTATCATGATTAGTCTGCTAATTAATAGAAAATATTAAATAAGAAATTGGATCAAATGGCAATCTCATTTTAAACATCCACACTAACTTGTGTGCTGGCAACCCTGGAATAAGATAATAGTTCATGGATCTAGTCAATCCCATTATTACACCAGTCTTAAGAATATATTTGCCAACAGAGTAAAATATTGGATTGGATGGCTAAAATGTTTAATTAGTTGACAGCCATAGAAATAAGAGAAATTCCCCAAAGGGAGGAGAAACAGCACTTCTGCTCTTTTTGTTCTGTCTTGAAATAAGTATCTTATTTGAAAAGGAACTTCTGGAGAGTTATGTAATGAATGTCATACAGTTGTAAAAATTGCCAAGAAAAGTCCCTGATGCTTTTCTCTCCAGAGTTGTGTACATTTCTGCTGGGGTCATAGAAGGACTGAGGTTATTTGTCCAGCAAGCCCAACATCACCAACAGGATACACTGCACTAGTAAATCATGTGTCAGCTAGCATGTTTTTCCCATTTTATTCCAACCCAGCCTTCTATTTTTGGCACACCTATCAACTAATTATATATTTTCACAGGTGATATTTTGGAGATTGTTAATGGAAAACAGCCACTCTGTCCAAAATAGTGCAGAGAATTTTTTCTTCAGAAAAACATCTGAAACCCATTATCAAGAAAGATACATAGATTGTGAAAGCAAAGAGTGTCCAGTGCTGAGGGTATTGTTGTAAATAGAGGACATCTCTGATTTAAAATGTGATAAAAAAACAGACACAAGCCAGGTAACCAAGACTTTTGGATTTAACATGAACAATTGCAGAAAAAATGCTAAATTTAGAATAGATGCTGGTGAATCCCTTAAACCTAAATAATATATAGCATGGACTTATATTGAGATCTGTCAACAAAGACAAGATCTACCCTCAGAAATGGAGAGACAAAAGTTTTTCAGAAGAGAGTTTTTAAATAAACACATTGTCTTTCACAACAAATTTAAAGTTAACTCTCCTCATAACAACATAAGCCACTTCTTTACTCTCTATATGCAAACAGCTATAAAAACAGTAAACACATGCAGGAACTTTCCTTCCTTCTTTCCCTTAGCTCTTTAAAACAGGAAGTGACGAGATTCCTAGAAAATGCTGCAGAATCAACAAACTGCTATGCTTTATGTGTAACAGGTTGGGAAGCAATTCACTTCCTGATCTAAGTAAGTCAGGTGAAATATATAAAGGAAAGAGTACACAAAATGGTGCGCATATTGGAGAAGGTATCTTAATTTATTTATTTATTTATTTATTTATTTTTTAAAATCACAGTGCTTCCTTCAAGGTGGAATTCAAGCCAGCAGACATGCACTCCTCCCTAGGCAAACCTCAGGTAGCCTCCCATTTAGATACTGACCAGAGCTCAACCTGGTCAGCACTGTGGAAGCATCATGTGCTCTCATACTATGTCTGTTATCCACAGTATGCATTCAACATGTAGAGAGACATGGTTTCATGTATATTTTTCTATGGGTATCACGTAATTATAAAAGCAAGACACAGCCAGCCTTGTTACAAAAAGTCTAACACCATCAGACATTCGCTTGCGTTGAATATACCCAATGGCTTATCTTCTGCCTTTAGGACACGATCATGTTTTAAAGCCTGGTATCATGTTCAATATGGGACGCGGGTGGCGCTGTGGGTAAAAGCCTCAGTGCCTAGGGCTTGCCGATCGAAAGGTCGGCGATTCGAATCCCCGCGGCGGGGTGTGCTCCCGTTGCTCGGTCCCAGCGTCTGCCAACCTAGCAGTTCGAAAGCACCCCCGGGTGCAAGTAGATAAATAGGGACCGCTTACTGGCAGGAAGGTAAACGGCGTTTCCGTGTGCTGCGCTGGCTCGCCAGATGCAGCTTGTCACGCTGGCCACGTGACCCGGAAGTGTCTCCGGACAGCGCTGGCCCCTGGCCTCTTGAGTGAGATGGGCGCACAACCCCAGAGTCTGTCAAGACTGGCCCGTACGGGCAGGGGTACCTTTACCTTTTTATCATGTACAATGTTTGTGTGATGGAAAAAACTGAGGCACCACTGCGTTGGCAATGTCTCCTCCATCATTGCTCTGCATTATGTTTCTCCAGCATATGCAACAGCTGGGCCTGTGTATGCACACATATTATGTTCCCCCTGAAAGAACAGCACCCTAAGCTTTCAAACGAATTTTGCCACTCGATCAGAAAAACACACACACACCACATTTCCTTGCCCACAAACACCTAGGTTCATACGCAATGTGTATCTGAGAACAAGACACAACCAGTAGGAAAGAATGAACATCCCATGTTCTCATAGAATAATCTCGTTAATGAGCAGAAACTAAATATGAGACATACTAGTCTCTATTTCATATCTGTCTCAAGGTTCTGCCTGGCCCAACCTAACACAGGTCATTTTTCTAAGGAAGAAGGTTATCTTGACTTCTTGAAAGTGTGTGTACGGCCTGCATCTCCTTACCTGGGAGAAGTTCAGCCCATTCAGTGGATGGCATTGCTCTTCCACCCTCTCCACAGCTCCTGTCCTTTTCTTCATCCTCTCCGCCTCCTGAGCCAGGTAGAGGTCCAATACGGGCACTCCACGGGAACGGATATCTGTCTCCGTGAGGGAGTTGACCATCAGCATCACCCAGACGGGCCTTTTGCGCTCCCAGTTCCCAGCAATAGCATTGAAGAGGTAATCGGCATAAAGACCTTTCCCCCGTTGGTCTGGCGTCATCCAGTGAGGGAGCATCAATTTGACGTACTCAAGGTGGCGCTTGAGGCGGTGGTAAAGATCCCGGGGGAGCACGTCTTGCAAATTCTCCCCGTGGGGTAGCAGCTGACAGCTGGCCAGGCCCGAAATGGTGTAGGGGTCAGTGAGGTCCAGCTCAAAGTACACACTGGAACTGGCTTGGAAAGCAGACTTGGAGTTCTCAGGGACAAAGTCCCACACGCGTGTGTAAGGCACATGGATTGTTCCAAATAGATAGGCCGGAGGGTCCCTCCGGATAGTCCAGAGGAAAGAGTTCAAGTCTCTTTGCTAGGGAAAAGGGAATGAAAAAGAAGGCAAGAGTCAGTTTGGTGTAAAGCAGGGGTCAGCAAACCTTTTCAGCACTCCACTATCCCTCAGACCTTGTGGGGGGCCAGACTATATATATTTTTGGAGGGGGGAATGAATGAATTCCTATGCCCCACAAATAACCCTGAGATGCATTTTAAATAAAAGGACACATTTTATTCATGTCAAAACATGCTGATTCCCAGACCATCCGCAAACTGGACTGAGAAGGCGATTGGGCCAGGTCCGGCCCCTGGGCCTTAGTTTGCCTACCCATGGTATAAAGCGCTGAGAAAAGTATATTCAGGACCAGTTAAGGGGGGGGGTGCAAACAGGAACTGTTCATCAGCGTTGTGGTTGAAATCACTTCCTATGGCATAACTTTGCAAAATGTTTTGAGGGCTGCCATTGTACACAATATCCTAGCCCTAACCATGCTGGCATGAAAGCAAGTTATCTATTGGAATCAGTATAAGACTGGTAGGACTGAAGCGGCAATGTGCAACGTGTAGGCCTGTGGATATGGTATGTGTATGGAAAGTCAAGCATGACTGCAAATCAGAGTTCATCGACGCTGCGGTTATTCTACTGAAACCAGTAAAACTATCCCAGCATGACCTTCCCTGGGTTAAGTGGATCCTGGATTGCATCCATAATCTCACATAGTCTGCAATTAAACATGTGAGCAGACAAGTAGGAAAACCATGCATTCAGGAAAGAAAGATAAAATATAGGATGAAGGCTCAAAGTTGTCTGATTAGTTATGCCTTATCAACCAGTTAACGTTCCTTTGTGATTAAAAGAGTGGTAAAACTGAGTAGATCATTATACCAATAAAATTGGAGTCTTTTATTTACAATTAAGTGGTATTCAAATTCAATTAAGTGATATAAATAAAACTAAGCATTTTTTTAAAAAAACAAACCAAAAACCTTATGATTTAACTTTATGAAGTGGGGATTATTGTATAAAATCACAGAAATATCTTATTCATGTGAGAATGAATGCAAGCATTACATCGTGTGTTTTTTGTGTGTGTGTGTGAGTGTGTGTGAGAGTGTGTGTGTGTGTGTGTGTGAGAGAGAGAGAGAGAGAGAGAGAGAGAGAGAGAGAGAGAGATTTTGAAAAGATATATACCCATACACACCCATAAACACTCATACCTCAAACTGGATCAAATAATCTTTACACATTTAACTATCTAGGCAGAAATCCAACCCAGGCTAAGAGCTTCTGGTCATTTATTCCTTCATTCGATATTTACAGAAACCCACTGTGCTATACAATGTACGTAAAGTTTCAGCTCGGAGCAAATTTGTTTGTAGACAAATATGGATCACTCTGCAGGGGAATTCTCCTATACAGTCCCCCATTGACTGCCCTTTTGAATTGTTCCTATGAACCATAACTTACAAGCAGCATTTTTTTAAAAAACAAAACAAAAACCTCATTACATTGTCTATGAAAGTTGAATACAACCCATAGCCCTAGCCTATTCAGTGCAGAAAATTGAAGATTTCAACATAACTAACAGGGTCTTGCAGGAAATCAATATCTCTCCGGAGATCTAAAGGATCTGTGAGACTGTCCAAATATGAAATTGTGGCCATGGGGAAGTTGACAAGCTTGCCACACACGGGAGGAGAGAAAGGGTTACCTGGCAAATCTCAACTAATTTGCCAGTGTTTCTTGAACTCTGGAAATAGGGCTCCAGTCCTTTATCTGGCATTAACTATGTTGCAAGTTATGTGAGAAATCTAGATTGTTTTGCGGGCACCTCCATAGAGGAGGAGCAGAAGGGCGAGAGAGATTTCTTGCCAAATGGTACCCAGGGACGGGAAGGCAAAGTGTCCTGACCGGTAGTAGTCCAACTACTCCTGTTTCACGCCAGCAGTGTGCTAGGGGCTGTGCAACCCGCAGAAGGAAAGAAGGGCATCGCTTCCTTTCCCAAACCTGCTCGCTTGATCCCACCCCACTTCCTCAGGTGTCGAGGGGCACAACCTCTGCCTCCCTGGGGGGCGGACGATCGGCGCTCCCTAGTAGGAGCCATATCCATATATCTCGCTCCCTCTCCACTTACAGAGGGGTTCCTCGCTAGGACACCCAGGAGCAGCCAGGAAAGACAGGAACTGACCCGCGTAATTGGCCCGCGCCTTAGTGTAGTGCGGATGTTGCGGAGGGGCTGTTATCTTCAGCAACCTTAGAAAGGGGCACCGGCACTATGGGTTGTCTCTGCGGATCATCGCAGTAGAAGGAGAGTCCCAAAGTTGACGGTGCCATGTGGCGCTGCCTCTGCGCCGGATTCCCCCCCCCCTTAAGCACCGGCAATCATTGACCCCCACCCCCCACCCCGACCCCCGGGCCTCCTCCTCCCCTTCCCCTCCAGCTCACCGATCGGGGCAGCTCGCAGCGCCCTGGGTCCATCTGCTGGCGCCTCCTGGGCTCCGGGCGCGCCGACGCCGGCAGCACCCCCCCGACGACAGCCAAGCACATCAGCGCCAGGTGGGGCTGCATCCTGCTCCTCCCGGGGGACCCGCCTTGCCGGCTGCCTTCAGAGGGAACTCTCCGCCCGGTCTCGCCTCGGGTGCTTCGGTCCCGGCCACGGTCCCGTCCGCATCTGACAAGTGCAAAAATAAAATAATAATAATAATAATAACGAAGGGAAGAGGGAGCAGCTGAGGAAAGCTAGCAAAAAGAGAATGGGGGCTTAAATGGCCCCACAAGGGCGATCCTGAGGGTCCCGGCGTTGATCCTGAGCCTCTGTCATGCTTGGGGGGCAATGGGACTCTTCGGCGCGGTAAACTTTCTGCGCTGCCCAGGAGTTGCTTGGGTCTCTACCCGCCCCCCCTCTCCGCCTTCAGAAGGAAGGAGGTGGGAGAGTCAAGGTTTGTCTGCGAGGGGGGGGGGGCGGAGGTGGTGCCGATCCCGGGTTTGAGATGGCGAGAGACGGAGGGAATGCTATTTGAACAGGCACAGGAAGGCGGGCACTGCTGTGGATGTCATCATGTCAGTTTTCAAACACGGCGAGGAAAAGCCAGGAGGCCAAAAAGAAGGGAGAAAAAGAGAAAAAGAAACAACTTCGCAGCAACTTCCAAACTTTCCCAAACTTTTCTTTCCCATCCCGCCTGCGACTTCGCGGCGGCCAAGCCTGGAGAGGGCGGCTCCTGCCGCAAGAGGGCGCCTGGTGCACAAACAAAGCGCCGCGGAGCTCAAGGTAGAGCCAGACGGGACTCCCGGGAGGGAGGGGAGAGAGATCCCGAAAGGAAAGATGCGAAAGAGCGGGGCGAGGCATTCTCCGACGGGAACATAGACTGGGGCGAAGGAGGGCTCTGCTTTGAGGTGCGTCAGGGACGAAGACACGCTCCTTACTCAGAAAGCTGGGTGCATGTGAAAGGGGGGTACACTTTGCACATTTCCTCAGCTATTTTTTGTTTCATGCTTGGCATTTTAGATTCCTAGACCCCAGAGAGGCTGAGAAGTGGCCCCTGTGTCTGTACACACACATACACACTCCACCTTTTTTCTCCAAGGACCTCGAGGTGGCACACATGGTTCTCTGCCTCATTTTCTCCCCACAACCCTGTGAGGTAGGGTAGACTGAAAGGCAGTGAGTGGCCCATGGTGGCCAGGGACGCGGACTTATAAAAAATATTGGGGGGGCCCGGGAAAGCTCATGAATAATAAATAAGCTCATGAATATGCAAATAAAGTGGCTCCGGCCCTAAATAGGGCAAGCCACGCCCCCCCAGCCAGCCGATTGGCTGGCTGGGAGGTGTGGCCAGTCGGGATTCCCCTGTTCTCGCGGGGGCTGAAACCGCCAGGAGGAAGGAAATTCCCCCCGGCAGTGCCTTGGCAGTGGCGGTGGTGCTGCGAAGCAGCGAGGCAGGAGCCCCCGCCCCCGGCGCCCGAGATTATTGGGGGGGCTGAGCCCCCCCAAAAATTTTTTTGAGGGGGCTCGAGCCCCCTCAAGCCCCATGGAGTCGGCGCCTATGTGCACAGGTCTGGTTTTGAGCCAAGGGTGGTTTCAGCGGAAACCCTCTTCAGATACCAAGTGTGATCCTCCTGGCACCTCAGACTGCTGTCTTCCAATCAAGTCAAAAGCTTTCTGTAACTGAATAGCTAGTATATCAAGGATTAAGCTGTTCTATTTTTTTAGCATGTTTCTAGGCTGGGGCTTAATTTGCAAACTGGTCAGCTGAGACCAGGGCCACCTCATTTTCCAGAGGAAGGGTGAGTCCGGATTGTGTTGGGTAGGGGGATATGGGTTGGTATTTTGATGCTGACATCGTGTGGCTGCTGCAAAAAAGCTTTCATGCATTAGGAGATCTGGTTCCAAAAGGAACACCCATCTGGAAGCACCCACTAAATTGTTCTTAGGCACTCCTTTATAGAGAGGGTTCTAAGGCAATGTACAAAGGTGAGAGTAAAACTATTAAACCAGTTTATAAGAACAATGTTGTTTTTAAAAGAAAAAAAACCCCAACCAATCTAGCTATGACTATACAGCAAACACACATGAGGCAAACTGAACATGCAAAAGTTCAGTGGAAGGGCAGAATCCAACTAAAAGGTCACCTAAAACCATTAGGCAAATAGGGAGGTCTTCAGCCAGGGGGTGCAAGATTAAAATTTTGTCACCAGGTATCTCTCTTTGGGGAGGCATTCCAGAGTCAGGGCACCACCACAGGAGACAAGGCAGAACCCCCTTCCTCCTGATGTGCTGGCTGCCTCTGAGCAGGAACCTTTTGACTCTTGTACTCCTTTGTTCACTACTGTCCTAGGGCTCAAAGAGAGAAAGTGGTAGCCTTGCAAAATTGTCCCACAAGAAGCCACAGAAACTGAAGCAGAAGGAACACCACCAGGCTAAGTTGCAGACACTCGAGTTTGATCAACAGCACAAGCCCAAGCGTGTTTATTTGGAAGGAGGCCCAAATACGTCTCCTTGTGTCTGCCTCCTGAGATCTCTTTTCCATTGCAGCCCTTACGTATTGGACTATATCATCTAAGTAGGTGCATTTGCACCTATAGGTTCATCTGCAACAATCAATTAAAAATCTGGGTGGGGCTACACATGGAGCCAATGCAATCCCATCATGATTTAAGGAAACATTACATAGCCAGCCCAACTAGTTCTGCTTAATCCAGGCTTCCTCGACCTCAGCCCTCCAGAAGTTTTTGGCCTACAACTTCCATGATCCCTAGCTAGCAGGACCAGTGGTCAGGGATGATGGGAACTGTGATCTCAAAACATCTGGAAGGCCAAGGTTGAGGAAGCCTGGCTTAATCCTACAACTCCTCAAGAGATGCTTGCCTTTCCTCAATCTGGTATTAGATGCTTGAGAGAGAGGTGGCAATTGGCTCTCATAAGCAATTTAGGCTGCAACCTCTCCCCACTGACTTAGGAGGAAGCTGTATTAGACTCAATGGGGCTGCTTGTGAGTTGGCAAATGCTGTTACTTATATTCCAAAGCAGTGAACATGGACTTAAGTCCATTGCTTTCAGTGGGTTCACTCTATGTCTAACATTGGATATCAATCACTGTTTTGTCAATTGGTGTTCGCAAAATGGTGTCTGTGTTATTTCATAAATCTGCATACAGTGCAATTCTACACACTTTGAATGGGCTTCTCTCCCAGGAAGGGTTGGTACGGGAATTCAGCCTTAATATATCTTCTGTGTGGGCTGAAGTAGGGTCCACGCTGTGCGGTTTTCCTGGGCGTAGTGGACTGTTGTTTATGGACTGAGTAGACCCATTAAAATAAATGGAGCGAACAGTGACTTAACTGTGTACAGGATTTCCCTAAAACCAGCTTCAATAATAAAAGCTACATCATAGATATTTGGTCACTGTGGTTACAGTGCTAAACAACTGTGACTACATAGAGAGAATTAATGAAGGAGGGTTGACGTTAAAAAACAAATCCAGTTTGTTTTACTTGGATTCTGTTTCTGCCTTCCAGACATGAAAACAATATCTGCAATATCTGAAGGTTTTAATATGTGAAGAAAAAGTAAACCCATTGACTTATCAAACAGATCCCATAGAAGGGAAATATGCCAAAGAATAGGAGATTCGGCTGCACATTCTGTATTTAAATTGTTTCTTTAAAAGTTAATGACTAATAGGTGTTGTTATAAGGTGTTAAAGATTAATAGATGCCTCAGGAAATTATTCCGTAGTGGTAATAATCATTATAGACTACCAGAAGCAGGGTGGTCAGAATGCAAAATTTAGCTAATATTTATGGATGTTGTTACCATATCTACTAAATAGATTCGTAGGTTACTACATTTCCAGTATGTTTTCAATTTGCATCTCAGTAGCTGTGATCCTGACATCCATGGAATTCTTATATAATGAAACGGGTGGCATTTGTTTCAAACAAGTTTCAGAACTGTAAAATTTGCAAGATTGCGGGTTGTATCGAATATTGTGTGCAAGTGGAAGGAAGCCAGCACAACAGGTCTTTGTGTAGCTCTCCTCTACCCTCCTCTTCAGCCCCATAAAATCCCTGAAAACCTTCTCTAGAGCACTGGTCTTCAACTGGTGGGTCGGGGCCAATATCAGGTTGTAGCCTAATGTAAGATGGTTCACAACCACAGCCACTACTATCACCATACACATATATGGGGGGGAAAGAGGAAGAAAAGGCTCCCCAAATGCAGGTTTGGATAGTGGATCCCAGGTCCGAAAACACTGATGACTATTGCTCTAGAGGATCAGAGAACCAGCCAAGCATTGTGGGCCGTGTGGGAGCAGGGAATGACCCAAAATTGGGTAGGAGAATCTTGCACCCCCTCCCACAGCAGTCCCAAATGTTGTTGTTGGTATCCGTTCGCCTTTGGGGTTGAGGTCAAACTGTTGGCAGGTTGCAGTGCCTGCTGTGCAGAAGAGACATGTTTTGTTGCAGCTGGAGCAGATGAAGGCATTCAGTTGTGCTACTGCAAATGTCCCATGGTGTTTCTTCTCTCTGCGCAGCATGTAAAATACAGTAAGTTCAACAGAGACACTCGAGAGGTTTTAGCAATGGGGGATAGGGAAAGGGAATGGTCCTGTCTTTGAACTGGCCTTTTGCTCATGTAATGGTAGATACAATCCTTTAAAAAGTGGGAGTTAAAGCTGTAATCCTAGCCATGTCTACTCAGAAGTAAGGGTTATTGAATTATAGGGGGCTTATTCCCAGGTAAATTGGATTCAGAATGCAGCCTAAATTGTTTATTCACACAAACTCAGCCCTGATTCACACAGCTGTTTTCAAAAGCATCACCCTATGGTCAGAAGCCCCCAGATGCTTGTCGGTTCTGACTGCTGCTAAAGCCAGAAACAAGAGACAGTAGGGATGCCAACAGGTGAGTAAACAGACCAGAGGGTCTGCAGTGATGCACAGAAATCTAGAAATGGGGTAGATATGCATGAAACATAGCAAATGTCAGAACAGGGAGCTGCTACAGTCAGCAAGAGGCTTTTCAAGATGCAGAAGTTCTCTGTGAACTAGAACACAAAGGTACATGAATAGCTGCTTCTCTGTTACATGGTTTGCATCAGTAATGTCAGC